TAAAATATTTATGAGGAGAAAAGTTGTGCTTGTATAGAAGAGACCAGGTGAGAAAGACCTGCTTATGGAATTTAGATAATTTAGCTGGTATTTTTTCAACATTATAATTACAAAGCAATACAAAATTAAATCCACCAAATTTGGAGAAAATATATTGTGGAATAAAGTTCCAGACTGAGGTTGGATTTTTGAGAAAGTGTTTGGCCCAATTAATTTTAAGAGTATTATTAAATGTGCAAAAATCTAACATATTGAGACCACCATTTTCATAAGTATTCAAAACAACAGATCTCTTGATATAATGTATGCCATTTTTCCATATGAAATTAAATAACATTTTGTCAATATTTTTAAGAATGTTGTTATCAACATGGAGAGACTGAGCAGCATATGATAATCTGGAGATTCCCTCCCCTTTGGCAAGTAATATTCTTCCCCTCAGAGACAAGTCTCTCTGCAGCCATAAATTAAATTTTCTTTGTGTTTTCTCAATAATTGGGGAACAATTGAATACACATCTATTATTTAGATTTTTACATATAGAGATACCTAAATAAGATATCTTATCTTTAATTGGAATATTATTAATTGTAGAAAGGATGCACTCTTTAATTGAAAGTAGTTCACATTTAGACAAATTTAAAAAAAGACCAGAAGCTTTAGAAAATCTTTCAACAGTGCAGATTGCAATAAGGACCCAAGAGGCATCTCTTAAAAAAAAGAGCAGTGTCATCTGCTAGTTGGCTGATCTTTATTTCTCTTTCTGCAATGAGAATCCCTTTCAAGGTACTTTTATTAATATAGTGTGAGAAAATCTGGGAGGCAAGGAGGAAAATATAGGGTGAGATAGGGCATCCTTGCCTGATGCCCCTCTGAAGGGTGAATCTGGGTGACAAACCAAAACTAAATTTCAGTGAGCAATTACTATCAGCATAAAGTGTCCTGATGGCATTATAAAAAAATCACCAAAACCAAATTTTCGAAGGCAACGGAAAATAAAAGTATGCTCTACGGTGTCAAATGCCTCGTAGAAGTCTAAAAATAAAATAAAACTTTCCTCTGAAATCAAATCAGATTAGTCAAGGATGTCTAAAATTAATCTGATGTTATTAGAAATGTGCCTATTTTTTATAAATCCAGATTGAGATTCATCAATTAAAAAGCTCATCACTTTCTGTAATCTTTGGGCAAAAATTTGAGCTAGAATCTTGTAATCAGTGTTAAGTAAACAAATTGGACGCCAATTTTCCACAAAGTGGATCCTTTTTGGGTTTTGGAATCAGAGTAATCACACCCTGTGTCAAGCTAGGAGGAAGAGATGTTCTCAGAATACTCTCTGCATAAACTTCTGTAAGAAATGGAGCTAAGGGTTCAGAGAAGGCCTTATAAAATTCTGCAGTAATACCATCATTCCCGGAGATTTGTTGATTTTAAGATGATTAATAGAATCAATGATTTCTTTAAGGGAAACAGGTTCATCACACCGATTTTTGTCATCTACCTCTATGGTATTCAGGTCAACTATTGAGTCTAAAAATGAGGATGTGTCATCCTCATCGAACCTAGAGGTATATAACAACTTATAAAACTTATAGCAATAATTAGAAATTGTCTTGGGGTTATCTGTTATGATACCATCAGCATTGAGTTTAGTCATGCTATTATAACTGGCATTAGATTTTTCTAACCTGAAGAAGTATGCTGAATTTTGTTCGCCTTGCTCCATCCATGTCCTCCAAGATCGCACAAAGGCGCCTTCAGCTTTACATTTGTAAATATCATCAAGCTGGTTCTGTAATTTAGAAAGCAAAGCAGTTTCAACATTTGAGAGATTTTCAGGGGGCCTCTGAGTAACAACAGCAATTTCACTAAATACTGCCTCTTCCTCAGCTTTCCTAAGCTTGGCTAGTGCACTCCCATAGCTTCTCATAAATTTACCAATATCAAATTTTAGTAACTCCCAATTAATGCTAAAAGAGCGTTCCCTTACTGCTTTTTTCCAATAATGGTTAATGAAATAATTAATTTTAAGCTTAACGGTATTATAATAGAGAGCTGTTTAACTTCCAGTATGATGGTTTAATAGAATTTAAAGTGCTTACAGAAAGCTTAATTTTTATAAAGATACCCATTCACTGCTATTCAAGTTAACCCACCTATGACGAGTGACGATTTCCGCTGCTGAGAAACCCGGAAATGTGAAAGGTCCATCTCTTAAAGGAGCCGCACGTTTGATAAAAGTGCGGATATATTAGCGAAATTTCGGCGAAAAGTTACATTGTAATGTAATAATATAGTGATGTATGAAGCATTACCTGAGCAGTTGTCAGTTTCAAACAGAGCCGCTTTCTGTTAGTCAGGACTGCTTGACCAGCGTGAGACCAAATTGAACCCAGTGTGAAATCAAACTTTAACCACCGAAAATTCAGCGGGAAAAACCCTGCTAATTGTGACAGCACTTTAATAGCGTTTCCGAGGCCTTTTCTCTCAAGTTCAACCAAATGAAAGGTTTTAATATGATTATTTGTAAATATAAATCACACAGAGAAAAATATTTTTAAAAGTATTATGTGGTTTATTTCAAAACTATTTTATTTACAATGGTCATTTAATAAATATGACTTATTAGCCTACTTAATATAGTGAGCTAGACCAACACCATGCCAGGGAAAGAGTAAACCAAGTTCTTAATCAAGCTGTTATAAAAGTCAAGTTTATCAACCAATAAATTTTAGGGTACTGTAAATGAATGAGCATATTTAACATTGTCATTTAAAAACTGGGAAAAATTAACAAAACAAAACAAAACAAAAAAAATAAAGTGTGAAGCTAGACAAACATATTATCCATTTAAAATAAAATGCAGTACTGAGAATTAATTATCAAACCTTGCTCTGTAAAATATTATGAGATCCATACATTATCCATTAATATGTTTATTTAACATGTATTTATAGAGGCAAGCATCTTTTGCCTATAATAAACTCCTCCCTATAATGCCCTCCTTGCATCTCAGCTGGCTATGTATTCACTAATGCCATTCTAGAGAACACTTTCAGACTACCATGTGATAGAAAAATCTCTTTACATTAAAAAAAAAATCTCTAACTCAATTTTCAAATCTGTGAATAATACAATCCTGATTTTATTACTGAACAACGTAAGCCTTAGTAAACAGTACTCTAATTGGATATGAGGTTCCTACATTCCTACAACAGACATGGGCAAAATAGGGAAAATGGTTTGATAAAAAGCTGCTGAAAAGGAGTTCAAAGAGCTCAGAGAGGGAATGAACATTTAAGAAGAGTGTAAGAAACGATTAAAGGCGTTGTAGGCAGACTCCAGGTCAAACAACATCTGGCGAACCTGGGAGTCATCCAGCTCATCAGATGCAGACATGCTGCTTAGTGTGGTTAACCTGTGAGGAAGAACAAAACAGTAAGCATTGTTTTCAAAGTGCAAGGAAACTGAATTTGTTTTTCAGCCAGATTGATTTAGCTTTGATTTTAGATTTTGGCAGATGAGCTAACAGCTTAAAGGGATAGTTCACCCAAAAATGAAAATTAGTCCATAAATTACTCACCCTCAAGTCATCCTAGGTGTATATGACTTTCTTCTTTCAGACGAATCCAGTCAGGGTTATATAAAAAATGGTCTTTGACCTTACAAGCTGTTTAATGGCAGTCAGCGGGTGTTGCAGTTTATCAGTCCCAAAAAGTGAAATAAAGCGCATCCATCCATAATAAAAAAGTGCCTGACACGGATCCGGGGGGTGAACAAAGGCGTCCTGTAGCAAATCGATGTGATTTTGTAAGAAAAATATCCATATTCAAAACGTAATAATCACTTTAATGTAGCTTGCACCAACAGTTGTAGACGGAAGCAGCTCCGGGCGGATGACGTATGAGGTCAGTGTTGCGCATTGCCCGGTGAGTCTCGTGAAAACCAACGTTTGTTAACAGGAGCAAAGGAAGCAAAGTTTCCTTACTTTAGCAAGTCTCCTCTTGGCTTACATCGAAATCCTCTGACATTCTACTTTACAAATCCTCGTTTTGTACTTCTAATTCATGACCATTGTTTTGTTTTGATCTCTCCCCTGCGCTTCCGCATTCATCACTTCTGAGCAGAGCATGCGCAACCCCGACGTCCTACGTCATCCGCCCAGAGCTGCTTCCGTGTATGCAAGCTAGATTAAAGTGATTATTACGTTTTAAATATGGTTATTTTACTTACAAAAATGCATCGATTCACTACAGGAGGACTTTGTTCACCCCCCGGAGCCGTGTGAGACACTTTTTTTTTTATTAAGGATGCTTTTTATTTAACTTATTTTGGACTGATGCATGCAACACCCGCTGAGTGCCATTAAGCAGCTTGAAAGATCAAAGACCATTTTAAATATAACTCTGCCTGGATTCTTCTGAAAGAAGAAAGTCATATACACCTAGGATGCATTGAGGGTGAGTAATTTATGAGCTAATTTTCATTTTTGGGTGAACTAACACTTTAAATTTAAATTCTTAAAAGGGTCCTATTATGCTTTTTCACTTTTTGAATTTTAGCCAGTGTGTATGTTTGGGCATAAAAAAGATCTAGAAAGTTACAAATCTCAAAGTCCACTCCAAAGGGAGATATTTCGCCCTTTTCAAGAACTACGACAAACGGCTCGTTTGGACTACAGCGTTTGTTTTCCGGGCTTGTGATATCACAAAGCGGCTCATTGGAATATCATTACAAATAATTCCCGCCTACGGAGATTCGAATGGTTGGGGGGTGGGGAGGGGCGAGGTTGTGGTTAGAATGCTTGGTTGAATTAGTGCATCAGAGAAAACGAAGAAGAAGAGCTGCTGCAGAGTTAGTGCATCAGAGAAAACTAAGAAGAGCTGCAGTGCTGTAGCTTCAAATTTTCGGCATGTCTAGAACAATTCTTACAACACAACGTAGCTGGGCCGAACGGCGCCGCCGGTGTGCCTACACTCATAGAAAATAAAGTATTTGAATTTTAAAGACGTGGCACGTCGCGACACTGCGCTTCTCGTCCGGTGTGCGATCGCCTGAAACACTGTTTTTTTCACCTCCGTGCACAAACGTCTTTGTTTGGGCTTCCGAAAGCGGATGATGTCAGGAAACAGTGGTTGCAATTTATTTTTTATCTCTGTTCCTGAGCATTACAACCCCAATTTGCTATTGTGTGCTGCGCATTTTACTGAGAACAGTTTCCACAACACCAGGGAGTAAAGTGCCGGATTCGCCCAAAAGTTTTTGTTGAAAGACGGAGCAAGGGGCGTGGCAGTACTGAAACACTGTCTAAGCTGTTTGCCAATCACAACGCATTGGGACAGCTAACCAATCACAACACATTTTGTTTTTTCGGAAGGTGGACCTTCATCAAAGCCGGAACTAATCGAGCCGTTTGTGCCAGGCTGGGGAGAAAGGTATTGTAATAATGTAAATTATGTGAAAAAGAATGCGTTTTTCGAACCACCAAGCATGAGAGCATGTTCTAGTACACCCCCAAAACAAAATCAAGACTTTGTAAAAGAGCATAATAGGACCCCTTTAAGGACTAAATGTGATTTACAAAAATTACCCCAGTCTTCAGTGTCACAAAATACTTCAGAAACCATTCTAATATGCTGATTTGGTGCTTAACAAACATTTCTTATTATAATCAATGTTGAAAACATTTGCGCTGCTTATTATTTTTGTGAACATGATACTTTTTTCCAAGATTTTCTGATAAATAGAAACATAAAAAACATTTATTTGAAATAGTAATGTTTTCTAACATTATAAATGTCTTTACTGTCACTTTTGATTAATTCAATCCATCCTTGCTAAATAAAAGCATTTACAACTTCTTCAGACAGCAAAGTTTTGAATTGTAGTGTATTTCTGCAGTGAAACTAGGCTTACCAGAGGCTGACTTTGTCTTTGGCCTCTGAATCTGGAGGCATGTTGCTCATTCTATTCATGGTCTCCATGAGCTCTCTCAGGTCAGGCTGGATCTATAAAACAATTTTCTCAGTTAATTAGTCATTCAAATCTTAAGCTCAAGAAGACTTAAACTGTCTCCAAATAACATTACGTTAATCTAATTAAGCTGATGAAATAAGTCTATGAAATGAGTACCTCATCCATAGCACGAATCTCAAGTCGAAGCTTGTCCATCACTGTGATAAAGAGCTACATGAGAGAAAATAAAGATTAAAAAGGTTATATGTGCAGATTTTGCCAGTTCTTATGATTGCTAAGTGTTTATTTTAGCAGGGGCTCAATGCACCACATACTCTATTGTGGAGCCCTGTGAAAAACTGCATATAGCATTATTTCTTCTAGTCTGATTAAATAAATCTACTTAATGGAACTGTTGGAATAAGAAGGTATCCTCGGTGCTCAATCGATAAAAACTGGGGCGTTCTGGCATTAACTCAAGAAGCTATTCATTCTAGGCTACATAAAATCACTATATGAAGAGTTCAAGATACATACAGAAACTATGTCTGCAATGCAGCGATTCAGGTTGCCCTTGTCATCCTTAATGGTGATTGGTCGATCCTCTTTGATCCTCTCCATAGCTAGTGGACAGTCCAGCTGTCAGAAACAAACAGTGGAAAAAATATTAAGAAACTTAAACATACTGAATCACATGTAAAAACATACACACACACACACACACATATATAAATATACATGTATACACGTGTGTGTGTGTGTGTGTGTGTGTGTCCAATGTGCTGGACTAATAAATTTCTTTCTTTATAAATTACTTAAAGGTACAAAAAAATTAAAATAGAATAATTTAGTTACTTATAAGCAAAATAAGCTATACCCTGTATTTCCGACAAAAGTCATCAATGGAGCCCACATCTGACCCCTGGACTTGTTTGAAAGCAGCCTTGTACTGGACAAGCAATCTTGAGCAAGCTCCTGTGTATCTGCAAAAACAAAGCAAATATTTATTATATATGAATAGACATAAATAAAGGTGTGGTCACATTGGCAACATTTTATGGGCAAAAAAGGTCCATTGTCTATTGTGAATAGAACAGTGATGTATGAAGCATAGTTCACACAGAAGTGACTTTCAAACAAAGCAGCTTCCTGCTGATCAATGCATAAAATTTGTGTGACCAATGTTGGGAAATCTTTGCGCAGAAATATTTTGCACTCATGTGACATTTCTAATCATGTAGATTGCTATTAAAAATTCTGTATTTGACTAACAAACAAATTGCAAATGTGACTACAACACCTTAATTCACAATATTTTGCGCAAACAAATAAAGTAACTAACTCGTTTGGAGTCACACAGTCTTTAATGTAAGCTTTTTCCAGTGCCTGGAGTGTTTTGACCACAGCAAACAACTCTGCCATGTTGTCATACCTTTCAAGACAAAAGAAAAGGACATTACATGCAGCCCAATCACATAATCACCATTATGCATCATCTTTATCATGACATCAATCAATAAGACAAATAAATAAGGAAAACAAAATAGCCCTGGCTGAACAATATGGTTAACCCCTTAACTGTGACTCGCATTTTTGAACATAGACGTGAAAGTGCACGATCCAAACTTACATTTTTATAATTCATGAACGAAAACATTTTGTAACATGATATTGATGTACCATTTTCATGGTAATGCAATGTTTGATTTTAAAATGGGTTTCAAAGGATGAATTTTGAGATTTAAAGTTTTCAATTGATATATAATCTCTGATGATTTCTAAAGTGTGATAGAGAAAAAGGCAACAAAGAAGACTTTTATTTATTATTTTTTTTACAAAGGTCAGAACTCCTGTTATGATGTAGATTTTTGAGGTGCACTCGTCAAAAATTAATCTATTACTTTACCTACATAATTTTTAACAAAAACATTGGTAAATTATCTATTTAGGAGTCTTAGACCTTTCCTACGATATATAGTTTGTCATGATTAGATTAGGATTTAATTGTAATATAGTGAATTAAACTTAGGCGTCCCAGAGAGGGGACGGGTGACGGTTAAAGTCTTAACTTACTTTTCTCTTTCTCTGGCATTTTTGTACAATTTCACTTCCTATAACAGACAAAGCACATAATTTAAAGATGATTTTGACAGATAAGTCCATTATTACAAATGATGTGCACAATATAACATTATTACCTCATACAGTTCTGGCTTGTTGGCAGGTGCTGGTTAAGTTAAAGCAGAAAGGCAAAACAGATATCAAATCTGATATGAGACTAGTAGAAATATAAGCAAGAGTAAAAGAAGAATGAGATGCTTTGCTATTTTTAGAGGCTCGTGATAAAGCAGGTTCTCTCACTCACTTCCTCCCATCACTCCAGAGGCAGGTATTCCATGAAACATGATGAACTACAAGATCATTAAAGCGACAATCAGATTATCATCAATCATCAGCCACGGGTCAGCGCATGAGATACACAGTGGCTGCATATCAAAACTGACTGATCTGATCTCATTATGTTAAGGTTACTCATTAGATTTTAGACGAACTAACTGACACAATGTATAGTGAATCCTAACTGGAGCATATAATACAACAGCTAATTTTGTTTAGTTTATTTCCTGACAAATACACTGCGACGTCAGCTCAGCTAGCTAGCTAAGATATTGCTTTCATTCCGCTGTAAGGGTACAAGAAACGTTGACGTCTCATTAATTCACACCTTATATATGTCTATAACGTTAATGTGGTTTTGAGATGACATATTATTCAAATACTAACAGCGTTTTTAGCTAAAACGCACCAGGAAAAAGTCCTTTCACTCACCCTTATATTGACGTCGCCGGATGATTTCGTAGCATCCTGCTTTCTTCTTCTTCTTTGGTGTTTTATTGGCGGTTGGCAAACCAGCTTATAGGTGCATTACCGCCACCGACTGGACTGGAGTGTGGATCAAAATGTATGCAATATATATAATGGGGAGTAACATCCTGTTTTCGCCACTGTCCCGACTTATTCTTCATTACAAAAATTGTTTATGCAAAGAATATACTATTTAATCTGAACTAAAGAAATAAGAATCATTATTTATTCAATTTCACATTCGAAGAAGACGGTAACATTTATGCTCGCGTTTCGTGGTGAGGGTTGCCAAGTCCAAGTCTAGTGTATTTCTACACTAGACAATATCGCACTTTATTCACTCAGTTATGTAATATATAACTACATTACAGTATAATAACTGTATTAAATAGTATATTATACATCATCGTAAGGCAACCACCTTCCTTTTTATAACCAGTGCAATTAATCGAACAGAACTGATATGTCGGTCATTCACAAGAATACTTGGCAACCCGAGATTGCCTGTGAATACGCGCGCGGGAATGACCAGACAGCTAGAGTGAACAGAGAAGCTCGAGAATCTGGCGTTGTGGCTTTGTTTGTTCTGAGACTGTGAGTCTGTCACGCGTATAAACCTGGCCTGGTTATTTGAGCGTGTGAGAGGTTTGTAAACCGGATGAAATCCGCTAAGAAGAACACTAAACTGAAACCTGCAGTATCGTCTAAAGAAGAAGAGTGCGGAATATGGCTCGACACAAAAGAGTTAAAAGAAAAGAAACTCTAATTAAATATATTATACTAAATCTAACTTTTTTCAAGTGTATTGAAAATATTTTTTTCTTTTGTCTTCGTAAGAAAACATTAGCACTACAGGTCTAATGAAGTGATTTCAGATATGTTTTACATTTTTTCAGAAACAACTGACCCGTCCAATATCCAAATTATTGAAGCCACTTGCGAGATCAGGGGAATACAGTGTGGCAGTGGCACTGTGCTTCACTCAGACCAAACTCAACATGCCTGTCACTAGACAAAGCACAATATCACATTTCTTTTCACCCAAATCCAGAGCTGTTTCATACTGTAACTGTGTACCTTTAATAGTACTTAATATATATATATATATATATACACACACATATATGTATATAACTATGTAACTGAATAAATATTACTTAATGTATATAACTATGTATGTGTTTACTGTATATATATATAATTTGAGGTACCATTGTAGTTTTTATTAATAGTATGCGTTTATTAATGGTAATTAATAGTATGAATGAGTTTTTATTTTTTTATTTAAATTTTTTGTTAACATTTTAGTCATTTTATTCTAATTTTTATCAGTTATTTTTATATTAGTGTTTTTAAATATGCCTAAATAGTATATATATATACACACACACACACCTTTAATTTGATGATAAACTGTTAAAGCTTATAAAAAATGGTCCTTTCCTGACTGGTATTTGTTTGGCCAGACCCTAACCCTAGTGTGGCTCATTCAGGGATGTCCAGCTTCATGCACACAGAGGCATGCACCGGGGCCAAACGGAGACATGATGTGTCTTTGGAGCCATCTATAGAGTCAACCAGTCAAACATCTGAGGTGTACCAGCAGAACTGTGATTTTGAAGGACTGTCAGTCAAGGACAAAAAAGAACAGTGTTTCCTCCATTTAATATGCGGAGATGAGCCAGAGGAAGAAGAACCACCTGAAAAAAAGAGACATGTTGCCCATTATACAGAAAATGTGTTAGAGACACAAGAATATTGGAATAAAGAAGCATCAAATGCATATCCAAATCAGACTATTCCTGAAACTGAGACTTTCTTTCATGAGGAGTCCCTGCAGCACTGTGATCTGATGGTCTGGAAGCCCTCTGAAGATGCACATAAGAATTTCCGTAAGTCTCCAGGTCCTAAACACACGGACAAACGTGATTTAAGAGATCAGAAGGCCTCACTTAAGGGGTCTATCTTAACCTCTAGGCCTGTCAATGAAAACCACAAAAGATCGAATGCTTCTGTGATTACTAATAAAAATCAGGAGCATTCTTGGTGCAAAAATAAGGCATCGCCCATGAAACGGATGGGAAAAGAGAATAGCTGGCCCACATCACCTATTCAAAATGCTCCAACATCCCCTTTTAAACGCCATCTAATTTCTAGTCCAGCTAAGTGCAGGTTAAAGGAGAAATACACTTTCCCCCCTAAAAAATCAGGTAAGGAACTTGCAAACGCAGAGATGGCTGGAGAAACTCTTGCTGTGTTGTTCACTCAGGACTCGGAGGGCTTCTGTGTGATTGCTCATCGTGACCAGCACTTAAGAAGCCCACTAAAAGACCAGAGCAATTGATCTGTGGGCAAAGATTACAGGAATAGTCCACCTGCCACTTCTCTAGAAAAAGAGGAGGAGGAATCAGATCTAGAGCCAGAGATGCTTTTCACCCAAGACTCCGAGGGAAACATGGTCATCAAGCATTAGCCAGAACAGCCATCTGTGGTCAAATCATTTGAAGTGTTTCGAATTGATTTTATTTTTCAAGCACTTGAATTTTTTTTATGTAGATTTGTATATGTGATACATTATAGAAACAAAAGTATTTAAAAAAAAAATTGGTACAAAAACAAATAAACCCCCCAAAACAATGTGTGTTGTGTAATATTTGATAAAGATTTCCTGTTTGCCAGCAGATGGCACCTTTTACTCTCTCAGTTTGGTGAACTATTTAAGCTGTGCTTTTAGAATCGGTGTATATTTTAAAGTAGGACATGGTGTGCCTGTGTCACATTAAACATTTATACAAGTTGTTCATTTGAGTTTAAGCTCTATCATTTTAAATGAGTTTATGTTTTGTATTGCTTTAAATGAGCAGCATGGAGCAAGGTGAATATTTCACATTCTGTTCTCGTTTGCCAAGTTGATGTTTCCCCATTGCTGCTCTGTTTAAATTTGCTGTCAGGGACAGAATCTATGAGTTTCATTAAAGAGCCATGTGCTGACAAATTCAATCATTTTTCACGCATTTATAATTAATGGTAACGACTCTCAAATATGATGATCCCCTTGCAGGGGACTCCCTTCCTAAAATATAAAGGCACATTTCACTATAAAAACCCATTTATACTGTGTGAGAAAAATATTAAATAACGACAAAATTAAATAACCATTTTTAAAGTGAATTAAATCTTTTATATTATCCTTGTACAAAGCAAAGTTGAACATTTATAATACATTTTGTAAAAAAAAACAAAAAACCTTTTTTGTTCTTTTTGAAAACCCTTGCTCTAGAACAACTGAACCTTATAAAGCTTAATCAGAAGATGGTAAAAAAGCTAATAGAATACAAATAACAGTGTAGTGAGTTCACAATGACTTTATTTGATTAAATTGATCTGGTAACATGAAAATACTTTGGTAAAGTACAATTTAAGGCGTGTGATTTAATACATTGTACATGTTCTACTGTTTAAACATCATGCTTAAGTGTGCATTACATTGTTAGTTAAATGTAGACTGTTTACTGACCAAGCAAATGTAACACAATTCCCTTTTAAGGACTGAAGAATGCTACATATTAACACATGTTGGCATACATTCAAAATGAGCTGAAGTGTTCAAGACCTTCCTGTTGAAGAAACATTTAAAGCATTGAAATTTACAAGCAGATGTAAAGGTGTGAGTGCAAAGTGGAGTGAGTGCAAACAATTTTGGACATGAAGTTGGATATTTATTAGTTGGGATGTGGCTTTTAATGATGAGACCTTTTTTGTAATCAGGCTCTCAAAAAGTATATAACAATTTGGATATAGATTTATCGGCCAACATATCGGTTATCGGCTTTCAAAAATAAAGAATAATCGGTTATCGTATCGGCCAAAATTTTCATATCGGTGCATCCCTAATTAGCTGTATTTACTTAATGTTATAACACAGCACATGTCATTACTACCCTGATGGTGTTGATTGACATGTGGTGGCCGTCAATGCAAAGTTTCAGAAATGAGCGGTCTTGAGATTATAAATGAAATATAAAGCAATATTTGAACTATATTAAAATAATATACAATCATATAAAAAAATACCCCCAAAGGCACTCATTCAGTTACAGAACAAAGACCAGTTGTCACACTCCTAGAATAAAAAGCGGTTTGATTGTAAAATGTCCATTGATTTTTCTCCTCTGCTCATGATTGCACATATTCTGCGTCCAAAGCCTGAAGATACAAGTTTACCTTGCCAAATAAACATGTTTTTTTTGCAGAAGAAAATATTATGATCTAAAAGTAAATCTGTAGTAAATGTCAAATGTTACTGCACAAAACACAAAGGGCTGGTTTCCCTATAAAAACAAGTTATAGCTAAATATAGTCATAATATATTAAAAATATTCTATCTTTTTTATTATGTTACTACACTAATGTATTTAACATGAGAATTTAGGACATCAACACAAAGTATTTTATGCTATCAAAAAGACATAGACAAAAAAATGTAAATAAATAAATATGGGAAAAAATTATCAAAATGTAATTGTTGATTTATTACTTAAACTTAGTACTTTGAGTTGCTGACTGAAAAATTCCCATATTCACACATAATGGTGTCATCCTGTGTAATGTTTTTTAATGTATAATTATTTATGTATTTTTATTGCTGCTAAAATTAAGGGGGAAAATATCCAACAGAGATTTGTTCAAAGGTTTCATAACTTCTGTGGGGAAATAACACTTGTTTGTCCATATTTTGCACTTTACACCTTTTGCACCTTAAACTACAACTCTCACAACCACAATGTATGAATTCTTCCGTCTCCGCTAACAGTGTGATACAGTGAAAGTGCATGAAGAATTCTGGGTAGGAGGAAAGAGATGACGAGCTGGAAAAGGAATCAACCAGCGATCTTTGTGGGCTCTGTCACCAGGCTGGAGCCGTCCCAAACCGTTTTAAACTGCTCTGGGATTGGAAACTCCCTCTGTTGAATATACAAGAATATATTAGTCAAATAATGTATAAACAATGTCTCAAAATTTAAGGCTGATGTCAGATTTTCCCTCACATTTGAATATAAAGCAGGTCAAACCTCTGGAATGGAACACTTGTTATTTTGGTACCATAACATAATGTATCAAGAAAGTTATTTGTTGAAATGAAAGGTTATGGTAGTTCTGTTTGTAGATATTTTCAGTGTAAATAAACTCACATAATCATCTTCTCCCTCAGGAACAAGGACGTTCATCTCAGAGCTCTTGGCACTGACAATCTCACAGTCAAGTGAATCCTTGCTCAAGTAGACATGGCACCCCTCGGTCTTGTTAATGGAAATAATAGGAACTTTCCCCATTACCTGAAAGGCCAAAAACAAGTTATGTGTTGTTCACAGGCAACGAAATATAGTCCAAAGTCCAAAAACTACAATCAGCTTAAAATAATTTGCATTTCTGAGCCATGAGTTCCTACTTGGTGAAAACGGGCTACAAAAGTCTCTTATGCTCAACATTTTTTTTTATAAAAACAGCTGTGCTGCTTAGTGTTTTCAGGATATACTTTGATATATAAAGTTGAAAAGAACAGCATTAATTTGAAACAGAACATTTTTGTAACAAATATTTTACGGTCACTAATGATCAATTTAATGCATCCTTGCTGATAAATTTTTTTTTTTTTAAATTTCTTTAAAAAAAAAAATCTTGCTGATTCAAAACTTTAGAATGGTTCTGTATGTGGTTGACGAATTCAACAATATTATGTAGCAACGTCTTAGTAATTCTTGCTATAACAGCACATAGCAGCTACAAAATTGAAGCTTGAAGCATGACTCTGTAATTTGTGTATGTTAACGTCTCTTCAGTATCAACAGATGCATACCAAACCGCTATTCAGCATTCATATTCTTTATTGATTCTGGCAGTTATGACCATAATTCATGCACATACATTATGCTAACACGTTCTCTTTTACAATAACAACCCTGAGTGCAGATCACTCACAGAAAAAAACACTTCAGCCTGCAACTTGTTATGCACAAACATTTACGTCTAACCTGAAGTTGAATGTCTCTGGAGTTGATGATCTCAACGATGCCAACCACATTGTCAAACACGAGTCCGAGCTTCTTACAATTATCTGTGAGGAGAGAGACAGACATTGGTCAGGCGTGGTGTGCGGTGCAACGATAAAGGAGAAGATAACGTTACTGAATAAGAGCAGCTGGTGTTGTGAGGAGCTCCTCTTACCCACTATGATGGAGTTGACTTTGCCTTTGATCTGGAGTGTGGAGTTGCTACAGCTAAAGACATAAACCACCTGTCTGAGCTCGGTCTCCTCTATCACCAGGCCATGAGACTGCTCCTGATGCTCCTACAGGCCAAATACACACAACAGATCCACTAAACACATGCTGTAGTCATGGTAAATCAATAGAATGTCAATACATGTGCAGGGTTCAGTCTCCTAGTTTACAAGTATATGGCGAGTGTTATATTAATACATTTCTTTCTACATTCATCCAACCCACTTATATATATTTAAAAAATAGTGAAGCACTTTATTATTATTTATAGATGCCCAATTGCAGTCAATAACAATGGAGACTGTTGAAAAGTACATAAAAGAATGCAAGCTGTTATCAAGACCAAAGGAGGCCATACAAAATATGATTTATATATATATATATATATATATATATATATACATATATATAAAAAATCAATACTTTATCATTGTTTAATACAACAAATTGTTTTTTATTTGCTTTCTGTTAATTCACTAGTTGTTTTGTATTACTTCCTTTAGTTCACTAGTTGTACTGCTTAATGCGTATATAAACAAGATATTAACTAAATGGCTTTGGATAATGATAATGATTTGAAAATATCAAGATCATTGCATTGTGGGATAGATTATTTTTTGCAAAAGTATTTAAGTATTTGGGTAACTGTAGCAGAGCCATTACGTGTAGCATGGTGTAACACTGAACACAGTCAGACACATGTAGGTTGATGGGCACCTACCACCCTCCACTTCTTTCCTTCCAGCTCCAGCACGGGGGAATGTTTCTTGGCAGGTGCACAGGCAGATGAGCTGGGGTTCTGACATTTGGCTGGAGATCCCTGGTATGTCCTCCCTCCCTGAGAGTGCAAGTTAGGGTTCTTATGGGTCTTCTGCTTGTCAGACACATGCTTTAAACCTGGAGGCAGAACACATCACCTGATGTCAGTTTTGATGGCAGTATAGTATCTTGTAGTCTGGCGGTGTTCTCCTGTCCACCTTTAGTGATGGCCTCTCCCTGATTGAGCTGTGCAAACAGAGCTGAGTGCTGGGCTGCGGTGTCGTCAGATTTAGGGCTGTTATCCATGAACACTGGAGGAGGACCTGGTGGTGGAGGAGGAGGAGGGGGAGGAGGAGGAGGGCAAGTACCATCAGAAGGAGCACCGAACAGCGAGGGAGGGGCTACAGGACCCTGTGGAGTACATCAGAGTTAGTCCAGGAGAAGCTGGAAACTTATATGCTCATTCCAGAATGGGGAAAAACATTAAAAACAAAACTAAAAACACAATATTCATGTCACAGAATTCACAGTATAGCTGTAAATTCACAGCCTCAAATAACACTTTTTTATTGTAAAATGGTTACTAAATTTAAATGTATTTTCACCCCATGTTGATGAATTCACTGCAATGGGCGTCCTACTCCAGTAGGTGGTGTATGAGGCAATGGATTACAGTAAATCTGTAGCGTTGCTGCTGACCTGAATGGAGGGTATGAAGTTCCAAAAAGGTGACCTCCATAAAATCAAATTTTTTTTAGTTAAATGTTTATTGCAGATAGATAGATAGATAGATAGATAAAGTATGTGTGTTCAACTCTATCCACACATATTATAAAATTGTAAAAGTTCTACAAAATTCTATGATAAAAATGTCAAGATATGCAGTGAAATGTCTTTTTAGAAACAAGCCTTGCTACATGGTTTGTGCTAAGAAAACAATACTCAATGTGTGTTTCCATGATTTTCTCTAATAATCAGATCCTGATTTTCGAAATAATTTCATATCAGTCCATGTGTTTCTAGCACAACTGGAATAATCTTATTTAACAACATTTAAAGTAAAAGAACAGATCAGTGTGGCACAGTTGGCTATTGTGTGACCCTGACGGCACACTTATGCCTGTTTTATATTGTCAGCACAGCTGCCATTGACAGTTGCACACGGTTCCCACTTCAACACTTAAACTGGCTTAAACAACTGTTGCACACTCATCTTTTCCTGTCTTGTACAAACACACACACTTCTAATCCCAGTAATTGTGCTGATGTTCAGCATAGGTTAAACAGTTGGGCAACCCGACCTCTGACCCTAAAGGTCGATGCCTTGTGAAGAGGTGAAAAGGCAAAGGTACTTAAACTGTTAGAGGAAGTTGGAAAACATGGCAGACAAATACATAGTGATGCGGGAGTTTGATTGTGTCTGATGCGTGAGGATATACAGAAGTAAATGAAGTCAAAGGAGAAGTATAATGTGGAATACATGAGAAGCGAGGTTGAATTACGAGGAGTGTGTATGAGAGCAGGTGTGTAAGCCAGAGACACACTAGGCTTTTGTTGGGGTCATTTCTATGGTAAACCCCCCCATGCAAAAAGACCCAGATGACCACCTGTCCACACCATACAGTCCTCCACACATACTCAGAGCCCTCATGGCAGGAGGGACAGCTGACACACAGTCAGTGAGGGCTCTCAGGTTTCTGTTTGACACACACTATTTCACCCCGTGACAGACAAGATTTAACATCCCAAAAACTCCCAGAACTACTTAAGGGGATAACTGTGTATTCTTTCAAAGGCATAATAGTGGTATGAGTCTGTTGTATGAAAGTAAAAAAAACTTTCAAAAACTCTGTAACCGGACACATTGCTGCATATTATCAGTCAAGTAAAAGTCAGTAAAAAAAAAAAAAACTATTTACATACACTACCGTTCAAAGGTTTGGGGTTGGTACGATTTTTTTTATGTTTCTAAAAGAAGTCTCTTATGCTCAACAAGGCATCAAAACTACAGTAAAAACAGTAATATTGTGAACTATGATTACACGTTAAAATAACTGTTTTCTATTTTAATATATTTTAAAATGTAATTTATTCCTGTGATGGCAATGTAGAAAACAGCTGTGCTGCTTGATATTTTTGTGGAAGCCATGATACATGTTTTAAAGATTCTTCTTCGATGAATATAAAGTTAATAAGAACAGCATTTATTTGAAACATCTTTTATAACACTATAAATGTATTTTCTGCCACTATTGATCAATTGAATGCATCCTAGCTGAACAAAAGTCTTAATTTATTTCTAAACTTTTGAACAATAGTGTGCATAGATTAAATTCATAGAATAAACTCTATTCATAGATTAAACTCAAATCAGTTAATCACAACATTATAATGTACACTATAAAATAATGAATATTCATTTTGAAATTTGCTAAAGATTACATTTAACAGTGTTATTAAATTATTAGTGTTTTTAAACCCTGTAAACACTGACATGGTCGTGCTTTAACTGGGCGTTATTTGTACTGTTTTTTTGTGGCTCTGATAGGATGTGTATAAGTATTAATGTATTGTATGTGCTAGTTGTCTTATGTTTTTATGTCCATCTATGATTATGATTACCTGCCAAGGGACTGCGGATGAAAACTACCCTTCGGCTAAATTCGTTACAATGCGTGAAATGGAAACATTTATGTTATAATTGTACATGGTCCCTTTTCAAATAAATTTTAATAATAATAATAATAATAAAGATTAACTTTAAGTGAGTGTTAGATGAAAGAAACAGTTATCTAAATGTAAAATTATAGGGGAAATTATCATGAACAAGTAAATATGCAATATCGACTGATATACTGATAAATTAAAAATTCTCAAACTCTGGTAAGGTAATAAGCAGTATGGTACCAATATACTGTGCATCCCTGACTGGAAGAAAATAAATTTCAAAGGCAGCCATGCCTGAATATAACTATACTATTTATCTAGATAGATGTACACAGTATAGCTGTTAATCATCTGAAATTAATCTGCATTTAACCAGCCTCTGTATGACCAAAAATGGAAAATATCCATGTACAGCTCTTCTGTACAGCAGTTTAAATTCTTTTCCTAATTTAAAACGGAAACACAATATCGAGCATTGAAAATGTTTACGTCTTTGAGAAAATGACAAATGTCCTTCTTAAAGGTGGGGTATGCGATTTTTCAAAAACGCTTTAGAAAACTGATTCGGGCCGACTAGCAAAACAAACTTGTAGCCAATCAGCAGTAAGGGGCGTGTCTACTCATGATGTGGAGGAGAGAGCATTCAGTGCACAGGACGGACATTAGCCGAGCCGAGCGACAGAAAGATAGAGATGGCGGAGAAAAAACAAAAGAGGAAAACGTCTGCGGAACAAAAGAAGGCTTAAGGCAATAAGGCAAGAAGTAGGACCCGTGTAAATATTGGATCAGCTTTCCAGCGCTGGAGAGAACTCAAAGAGTGGAAGGCGTGCGATCAGACACCGAGGTTGCTTTGTTTCTTCTCGATAGGTGAGTAACACAGTGTCTGCGCCGCAACAGCTAAAGTCTGTCTAGTACACTGGACGCGACAAAGCGACCGTTGAAAATCATTCGAAATTTGTGTCAGTATGTCATGAATACTGGGGCAGAGCTATCAAAATAGGGGCGAGACCCTTTTGGGGTAGGGGAGTGTTTGTTTGGGTGTTTTCAAATGTCAACATTGGCTACCAGAAATTGCTTACCCCACCTTTAATGTAGAGTTTTGATTACCAACAACTGTACTAATTCTATGTCTGGCAAAGAATATTCACATCATACTTCCTGAATACAAACAAGTTGAGGTCAGCCTGAAGTCATTTTCCAATTAAAAGTCTCACTCACAGTTTTGCTCCAGGCGAGTCCAGTGGTGTGGTGCTCCTTGATGTAGGTCTGAAGTTCAGTCCAAATGTTCAGATAGGAACGCACCCACTCAACATGACGGGGGTCTCTGGGGTCAGTGGAGACAAAAAAAAGTTCAAGTGTTTGTTCAAGTGAACAAATAAATGTTCATGTACAACATAATAGTGAGGGAAATTGATGTGTTAAACAAAAAGTACCAAAGTACAGTAGAATCATAGTATAATTTGAAGATCCTTGGCGTAGCAAATATAAATACCATTATACATGGTTATGGTAATCATTATCACAATACCTTGTAAGGGACATTTCACATTAACATATCAAACTGACCTGATATGAACTAAATAAACAAAAAACAATGCACTAACGTGTCTTTGTAATCTTTCAGGACTCTGTTTGTGTAGAACATTGCAGCATCGTTCATCTCCTTCACATACGGCCCTGGTTTCTGACACTGTATGACAGAGCAAGAAAACAAAGGGTCAAAAGAATGTCAAAGAAGCTTACTTATTAATATAAATAATAAGCACAGAAAAAAGATCAATTTCCAGTAAAGCACTAATACTGAGACTCTGAACCTTTGATGTAAACAGCAGCGGTAGTTTAAAGCAAAAAATGATAGAGTCCAGATCTGTCTTAGTCCAAATTCACATTGCAGAGATTAGATACAGCCAGCCACAGTAAAGACATCAGAGGAGTTTACATAATAGAAAACAAATATAAATTCAAACATAAATTTGGTGGTCCTCTCACCAATGACTCAGATGGTTTGTGTGAGGTCGGCCTGTTGTCACAATCAAAGAAAATATGCACAATGGATGGATTTGATATTGTTTGAAGTGTATTTGGTGGACTTTTATCTGAATGTGCAACCTTAACATTAAGCCACTCAAATGCAAAAGATGCATGAGCCAAACCAGGTATTTTCTGGATCGGTTATAACAGAATTATGTTTGTATACAGGAAGTTAGTGACTGACTAGAATGCACCACACTGTCCATGGGAAGTGTGAGACAGAGAGAAGTGCTCACCACGGCCACCCAGCCCAGAGCGGGGATGCTTTCGCTCACGGCAGACAGGTGGTTGAACAGACTGCTGCCACGGTTCTTCTCCCGGAAATACTGGACCTCCTGGATCTGGTCGGAGAGGGGTCTGAGGAGGTCAGCCATCTCTGTCTGATTGGGAATAACAGCGGGAAAGTCATCAATTAAAAGTTAAGATTCCTTTGTGGAACATCAAACAGCAAATCTCATCAAACAGTCAGAGTTACGCATAAAACAGACCAAATTCATTAAAAAAAGGTACTTCCAGTTAGGATTTTTTAAGTTGTATGAGCAATACTAATAGTGATAATTGTCATGCAGGCTCTACTAATAAACTACTTAAATACAGTAATTTGGCATTTCAGTCATTTCATTTGAAACTTCCATTCATAAAATATCTATCCCTTACTTTTATAATTCAATCAACTTAGTCTAATAATTCAATTAACTCAATTAACATATCTTTCAAACATGAACAAAAGAAGTTTTATGCTGAATACCACTGTGGAGTATTCATTTTCTTCTATTAAAGACTGTGAAAAGATTTCTTTTGTTTTGTTTTGACATATTTCCTATTGAAATAGGAAGTTTGGGCAGCACATATCCAGTTTTGTTATTGTTGACTAAAACTAAAATGCAACTGTACCTGTAGATTTTAAATGTGTACATCTGTTAAAAGTCAACTGTGTCAATATTAAAGACTATTAGCATACAGTGTATTTTAAAACTAAAAAACATGGAGAAAAAGCTACTCCACAGCAACTCCAATTTTGATTTCATTGGACCTTTTAAAGGGATACACCAAAAATGAAAATCCCCATGTCGTTCCAAAGCCCTAAAAGCTTCGTTCGTATTCGGAACACAATTTAAGATATTTTGGATGAAAACTGGGAGGCTTGTGACTGTCCGATTGACTGCCAAGTAATTGACATTGTCAAGGTCCAGAAAAGTATGAAAGACATCGTCAGAATAGTCCATCTGCCATCAGTGCTTTAACCGTAATGTTATGAAGCGGCGAGAATATTTTTTGTACGCGAAGAAAACAAAAATAACGACTTTATTCAACAATTCATCTCCTCTGTGTCACAAGCCTCCCGGTTTTCATCCAAAATATCTTAAATTGTGTTCCGATTATGAACGCAGCTTTTAGGGGTTTGCAACGACATGGGGGTAAGTGATTAATAACAAAATTTTTTCCCTTTAAGCAAGCACAGAGCCTGAGGCACCCAAACGGACTTTTAATACTGGGACCATTTTTTCCAATGAAACGTCCAGCGAGCTTCACCTCCCTCCCACTCCGCATTCCAGCCCGTGATGGGGAGATCCCCCTCGCCTTGTAAGGCCCTGTCCTGTACTGATGTTTATAGTTTACCTCTGAACAAGGGGGAGAAGGAGCTCACTGTTTCCTTTGTTAAATGAACGTTTTTGTATTTATGCTTGTGTTCAAGCAGTTGCCATGTCCACCATTTCAGTCCATTTCATAAGAATTTGGTGGGAGAATGAGGACGACTGACTTCTCTGGACTAAAAATACTACTTCTTGTTTTCAGTCAGGCTCATCAGCTCAGACTGACCTTCATGTGCAAATCAGAAGAAATCACAGAATTGACCTGACTTCAACCTCATCAAATAAGTGAGAGATAAACAAACAAGACAGACGGTGTGTATTTAGACAGTATATGTTGGTACAATGCGTGTTTATTCATTACACATTTTGTGGCTGAATGTGACTCATCAATTGTTTTTGGTGTCAACAAGGTTGAAATGTGGAGGGTTGTGGATTGAGTTTGTGTTTGTGTAAGTGTGACATAAAGTGATAAAAAGCGAGGGGGAGCAAAAGAGAAAGAGCAAAAGCGTATTTACATAAATTCCTCCCATAACAACATGCGCATGATTTTCATTTCTGTGAACAAAGGCACCTCTTTCATCCATACTTGGACATTACAACCCTTGTTGAGACACTGTCCGAAGTGCAAGTACCTTTCCAGCATCATTCTGAACTTCCCTTTCCATCATGCTCAGCCGAGGAGAGGGACAGAAATAGCCTGCCTATCTCTGAGCTATGAATGGAGCCAGAGCTAAGAGCTTTCTTGGCAGATTATGAATTATACGGTAAGAAAATAGAGGATTGCTTCACATTTAAAATTTACACTAAGCTTATCCTATTTTTGAGACTATATATATAGAATAGAATAGAATAAAATAAAATAAAAAACTCTAGATATTCTGTATAATTGGACATATATTAGCTGTATAAGTCTGGAAGGTATAATTTACTTTACTCAAAATAACCAGGAATTAAGATGTGAATATATATCCCTTGAACAGACAGAAAAGATCCACAATAAATGTTAAATAATTTTTTTTTTTAAATCAACTAAAATGTATCTAAATAACATAAAATAAAATATAAAATTTTTGGGGTGCCGTCAGAATGAGAGTCTAAACAGCTGATAAAAAACATCACTATAACCTCATGCAGTGAAAAGCTGCTGGTTTGTAATAAACATAATCATCAAGACATTTTAACTTTAAACTATTGCCTCTGGCTAAAATAAGAGTCCTCTATCCATAATATTGCTTTCTCCAGAGCAAACGTGGTCTCATCTGAATCAGAAAAAATATGCACAGATCAAGCATTGTTTACGAGCAAAAACACTCCATAACAGTTTTAAACAAAAATGTTATGGATATTGATGATAGTGGATAACACTATCATCAATGGAAAGCATTATTATGGATGATGGACTTTATTTTGCATTTTAGCCAGAAGTGACATTTTAATGTTAAAACGCTTAAATTATTGTTTTTGTTCTGTTGAGACTACACAGACAGAGTCATATGGGTCATTTGCTGAAGAGACTCTAAACTAAACATTGTTATAATGGTGCTTAACATATGACAAACTCTGTAGTGTGGGATAAGAAATCATTCTAATATGCTGATTTGCTGCTCAAGAAACTTTTCTTTTTATAATCAATGTTGAAAACAGTGCTGGTTAATATTTTTGTGTTAACCATGGTACTTATTTATTATATAGTACTATTTAAATAGATATAGTAAATAATAATAATAATATTATTATGTTCTAATAATAAATAATATAATAATTTCCAGATATTTGAATACATTAAAATAAAAGGCAATTATTTATTTTTGAAAATGACAAGTTGTCTTTAATTACATTAAACTTACTATTTTACACTCTATAAATGGGTTTGTATATAATGAAAATATGCAGCTGCCTTTATATTTTAGGAAGAGCATCCTTAGGGGATCATCATCTCTGGAGGTTGTTGGCGTTAAAAACTTTGAAAACCCCCAAAAAGACCACATCCACACAGACCTACAGAACAAGTTCCCACAAACATTTAGCGCAGACAGTCTCTTTTTTCACTGAGCGAAAGATCCCGCATGCACACACATATTCAAAGAGCCATTTCTCATCTCTTATTAGACCAAAAGGGAAATGTTTCCTCTCTTGAGTTGAACTTGAGGAGAATTCCAGTGCTAACAAAGAGGACACATACATCCCTCTCCCACTTTCTTTCTGCTCTTTTTCACCCCTTCCCTCTCTGTCTTCTCATAATATTACATTCCATCACTAGAATGAGCCACTGTGCCTCTGTGTACACTAAGTACATTGTCCAGTGCCTCATTTCTCAAGCAGCTCTTTAGTTACCAATCGGTAGCGACTGGCCATGAAATGTAATCCATATAGACCATTATGTACTGTCAGCCAGAAAGAAGCCCCAACATTTCAGTTACTGTTTGCAGGCTGTCAACTCAAAAAGTACCTTGCGTTAGGACAGATGGGACAGAAGCACTCACTGACAAATGATTGATGGTAAGGGCTCCTATGGAGCAAATGCACCAATATTCAATTCTGATGAAGATAGTGATCAGGACATTTTAGTTAAATGATTATATTATAAAATTCTAAAATTATTGTCTATAATTTGATGAGAATTTGTTTAGTTCATGTTGAACTCTTTGACTTGATGTTGGCAAATCTGAAAACAGTGTGATGTCGTTGAGATCTCTTCAAAAGTATTTCTCAGACAAAAATTCTAAGCAGCAGAAAATTTAAGCAAATTTGCTCTCCATTTAATCTAATTGCATCCAAAGGAGAACTACTGAAATATTAAAGAGTGACCTTTAAGATACACTTTCAACACAAATACAAGTTTCAGTATTTGAAAGGAACTAATACCTTAAAGGGGTCATAAGATGCAATTTCAAAATTTCCTTTCTCTTTGGAGTGTTACAAGCTGTTCGTGCATAGATAAGATCCCTAAAGTTGCAAAGACTAAAGTCTCAAATCCAAAGAGATATTCTTTATAAAAGTTAACACTTGTCCACGCCCTCCTAAAACGGCTCGTTCTAACACGCCCCCACATGTCTACGTCACTGTGTGGGAGGATTTGCATAACGCCGCCCAAATGTTCACGCAAAGAAAGAAGGTGTAACTTTTATTCTCGCTGTAGTATTGTTGCCGCCGCCGCCATGTCATGAAGGTCCTGTGTGTTTCGTTGTGAAAGCGAAACTACTTTGTTTGGTCTTGCAAAAGAAGATGATATCCGCTTCGTCATGCCTAGAGCTGAGCCGTGCTGGTTGCTGAGGAAATACATCAACTTTGCGCT